CAGAAGACAGAGGCTTGTTAATTGGGATCAGGTGGGACATTTGAAGGAGAGGTGTCTGGAGAAGAAACGACTGTGTCTTATTGCTTGCATTTATTCAAATACAAGGGGGAGCTACCGGCCTTCCCTCCTCCCCATCTGGGAAGGATTAACACATTTGAGGGCTCTGAGCACTGAAAAAAATTACTGTCTGCTTCACCTCACTACTTCTCTCTGCAAAATGGTGACTGTGAGGCTGCTCCTCAGTATGCTGGGTTTTCTCCTTCAATGCACATGGGGGGCAATGCCAAACCCCATCTCCTCAAAGTCAGGTATACCATGAGATAGGCTTTGGCCAAGAGAACATGAACAAGAAATGAGACATTTTCAGGCAGAAAACTTTAGGAGTCAATGCAAACCTTCCCATGCTGCCTCCTCTATGCCACTGAGGCCAGGGAGATTCCAGTTGGTGGAAGGTCTTCCATATTGCCTCCTCTGGGGAGGACAAAGTGGCCCAGAGCCACCTCACCTTACTGCATCATCCCATACTCCTGCTGGCTGACCCACAGTGTATTAGTTTTCACAGTGCTATAAAGAACTGCCTGAGACTGGGTAATTTATAAAGGAAAGAGGTTTAATTGACTCACCGTTCAGAATGGCAGGGGAGGCCACAGGAAACTCACAATCATCGTGGAAGGCAAAAAAGCAGCGAGGCACCTTCTTCACAAGGTGGTAGGAAGGAAGACTGCTGAGCAATGAAGGAAGCCCCCTCCCCCTTATAAAACTACCAGATCTCCTGAGAAATCACTATCATGAGAACAGCATGGGGAAAACCACCCCATGATTCAATTACCTCCATCTGGTCTCTCCCTTGACACATGGGAATGGTGGGGATTACAATTCAAGATGAGATTTGGGTGGGGGCACACACAAAGCCTAACCATATCACATGGTAAATGTGTAGTGTAAGTAAACAATACATCTTCATAATTTTCAGCCACTGAGATTTTGACATTGTTTTTTACTGAAGAAACAAAAATATAAAACACCCAACCAAGAAGTCCAAAAGATTTCAGTTTCCTTAATGACGACTTTAATAATTTGGCATTTCTATGAATAACCCGATTCTTTTAAAAACCTCTCTCTCTTTTCAAGCTTCTGGTATGATGCAGACATTAAGTATGCACCTCACCTGGTCTGACTATTGGGAAATCTAAACCTTCTCCCCTTAGAAACTCTGCCTTGTGGCAAATCACAGAAGAATACACTGACTTTTAGAGACTATGTGAGGATCTCCTCTCTCTGCTGTCATTTACCAGCCAGTCATGTGTTTTTAGAAAATTTATTCCAACTCTCTAAATCTCAGCTTTCTTACAAAATTAGCACCATAATTCCTAACTTTCCAAGTTATTGTGCCCTGGGGATAAAAAAAAAAAGTACACCAAGCATAGGTGACTGTCCCAACCCACTCCTGACCACCAGGAGCCACATTACTCAGCCCTCCCAAGGAAGGGTTTCCTTTCCATAAAACGGGATGACAATACCTACCTCCCAACTTGGGGTCAGGATTAAATAAATGAGTCAACATAAAGCTCTCAGCAGGCCTTTGCACCGAGCACAAGCACGCAGCAGGTGATGTAATCATCGTGCTCATCATTAAATTGTTAAATTGCGTAGCACCTAATATACATTCAATAAATCTTAGCTGCTTCCCTTGCCCTTGGAGAATGAGATCTTCATGTTTAGGAATGGAATCATTTGAAATAGCATTATCAACAGTTAATCAGCAGGGTGGCCAACAACCTACTATAAAGAGAAAAAGACTCAGAGTCTCTGCTTTAGACCCGTTTATGGCAAGACATGTCTGGGGCCTTAGGATGCCAGGTTTTTTCCATTCTGCGAACACATGGCTTCCATTAGTTTACTGATACTGACACATCCGAGGCTTCCAAAGTACTCCGGGCCTCTGATGAGTGAAAGGTTTGCATGCCCAACAAGCAAAAGACAGGCTCCACAGGCATAAAACTGCTGCCAGAGGAGGGGCAGAGGAGGTGTTGAGTTTAGGTAGGAGACCAAATCTGGCTCTGTTTTTAATGACCATCCTGTCCACACCTGAAAATAAACTAGCTACACCTGGGGAAATTTCTAATGCTTCTGGAGCTGCAATGCCGATGTCAGTGTGCATATGTAGCCTTCATTAATCAGAGTGGGTGTCATGTGGGTGTGTGCAAACAGGGACTGGAGAATAGCGAATAGTTTGCACAGTGTACAAACACCGTCTCTGCCGAACTTTCTAATCCAAAGCAAACCCAAGCTCGGATGTTCAGCTCCTTTCAACACGTGTTCTAAGGACATCGTTGTTTGGTTGGACTCTTTCAAACAGACCTGAATTCTAATTAGTTTGCAGTGTGAGGCTGCAGAATGGTAACTCAATCCCCGCCTAAACTTTGTCATCTGTTTCCCATCTTCAAAGCGGGATGGTCTACTTTTGTGCTGTGCAAAGGTGATGCCGGGGACTTCATTTGGTGCTCTGCGTCTCATAGCAACAAGGGCTATTTGAAAGAGGGGGAAAGTTGGGGCCATTGCTGACCTAAGTTTGGGACAATTCGTTGTTCTAAGTTTCATCCCCAAGGGGAGGGTTCCAAAGAAATAAGGCTTTGTGTCCCTGATGACAGAAAGGACCTACCTCGTCGGGGCAGTCCTATGAACTCTCAAAATGTTTGCCGTTTCAGACCATACAGCAAGAGTGAGCAAATAAAAGTGTGATGAAAAAATAATGAGGGCATATTTGGCTAATACTTGAAAGCTAACAATGTGTTTTCCCATACACCAAATCATCTGATTCTTTCAACAGCCCTACAAACAGGTACGCAGTTCACATTAGCCCATTTTTACAGGTGAGGAAAGCAAGACTGAAGGATTCCAGCCTACCTTGATTTGCATCTTGTCTCCTGACAGCTAAATTCTTAAACCGTGGGCAAGCTTCTCCATCTTTCTGTGTCTCTGTGTCCTCATCTGCAAAATGCAGAAAACAACATTGCTACTTCATGGGTTGCTAAGTTTAATGAGTTACTATACGTAAAAATAAAAATGTGATTAAAGATCACCTGTGATATAGAAAGGGTTGACTACGTGTTGGCTATTTTGACGATGAGGAAAGGTATTGGGTCGGTACAAAAGTAATTGTGGTTTTCGCCATTACTTTTTTTGTTGTTTTTGATAGTCTCACTCTGTCACCCAGACCAGTGGTGAGATCTCGGATCACTGCAACCTCCACCTCCTGGGTTCAAGCAATTCTCCTGCCTCAGCCTCCCTAGTAGCTGGGACTACAGGTGCGTGCCACCATATCTGGCTAATTTTTTGTATTTTTAGTAGAGATGGGGTTTCACTGTGTTAGCCAAAATGGTCTCTATCTCCTGACCTTGCGGTCTGCCCGCCTCGGCCTCCCAAAGTGCTGGGATTATAGGCGTGAGCCACCATGCCTGGCTGACATTACTTTTAATGGCAAAAACCATGATTACTTTTGTACCAACCTTATAAAGTTGAAAATGTGGGACCCCAGAAGCTCAGGATTGAACATATCCCTGGGAAGAAGAATTGGGCTGAGATGAAATCCGCAGAGAAAATGAGAACAACAGAGCACCCTTGTTCATGTGGCTGTTCAATTCCCATCCTGTCTATACTCCACACTCAACCATGGATGGATGACACACTGCTCCAAATCCCTCAGGGTCATCAGGAAGATTGTGGCCCAATCTGACATCTGGTCATGGAAAGTTGCATTTCCTTCTTATTTTATAAAATGCATATGGAGGTGGAGGGGGGACACCAAGTTTGACCCCTTCCAATCCGTTTAATAATACCTAATAAATTGAGCTTTCCTTATGTGCCAGGCACTGTGTTATATATATTGCACACATTTTCTTATTTGTTTCTCATAGAGGGGGATGAAATGTTTCAGTTTGCTCAGCACTGATGGGCTATCTAGAATTTGGCTGTATTAGTCTGTTCTCATGATGCTAATAAAGAGATACCCGAGACTGGGAAATTTATAAAGAAAAAGAGGTTTAATGAACTCACAGTTCCACGTGGCAGAGGAGGCCTCACAATCATGGCAGAAGGCAGAAGATAGATAAGCAAAGTATTCTCTTGTGTGGTGGCAGGCAAGAGAGACTGTGCAGAGGAACTCCCATTTATAAAACCATCAGCTCTCGTGAGACTTATTCACCACCATAAGAATAGTATGGGGAAAATCACCCCCATAATTCAATCATCTCCTCCTCGCCCCACCGTTGACACGTGGGGGTTAGCACAATTCAAGGTGAGATTTGGGTGGGGACGCAGCCAAACCATCTCATTGGCTATAACTAGCTGTACTGGGCAAGCTGGGACAGCTGATCACCCCCAACAAGGAAGGTGCTCAGTTCCATTTTGTAAATGAAAGACCTGAAGTCAGGGGAGTCTCAAGGCTAGCTAGGCCAGTAGGGATTTTTCAACCTGTGCTTTTAAATCACTATAAAATACCAGCTAGGGAGAGCACCTTCCTATGGGAGAAAGTTGTAGCCCATCAGTGAATGGATGAAATTAGCTGTTGCTTTCTCTTTTTTTGAACTTTTAGGCTCAAAGGTACACATGCAGGTTTGTTAAATAGGTTAATTGTGTCACAGAAGTTTGATGTACAGATCATTTCATCACCCCGGTACTAAACCTAATAGTCAGTAGTTATTTTTCTGCCCCTCTCCCTCCTCCGATCTGCAACCCTCAAGTAGACCCCAGTATCTGTTGTTCCCTTCTTTGTGTTCATGAGTTCTCATTATTTTTCTCTGACTTATGAGAACAAGCAGTATTTGGCTTTCTGTTCCTGTGTTAGTTTTCCAAGGATAATAGCCTCCAGCTCCATCCATGTTCCTGCAAAAGACAAAATATTGTTCTTTTTTATGGTTGTATAGTATTCCATGGTGTATAGGTACCACATTTTCCTTATCCAATATGTCATTGACGGAGATTTATGTTGATTCCATGTCTTTGCTATTGTGAATAGTGCTGCAATGGGCAAAGGAAATGAAACTTTTCAAATGAAATGAACATACATTTTTCTTTTTTTTTTTTTTTTGAGATGGAGTTTTGCTCTTGTTACCCAGGCTGGAGTGCAATTGGGCGATCTCGGCTCACCACAACCTCCACCTCCTGGGTTCAGGCAATTCTCCTGCCTCAGCCTCCTGAGTAGCTGGGATTACAGGCACATGCCACCATGCCCAGCTAATTTTTTGTATTTTTAGTAGAGATGAGGTTTCACCATGTTGACCATGATGGTCTTGATCTCTTGACCTCATGATCTACCCGCCTCGGCCTCCTGAAGTGCTGGGATTACAGGTATGAGCCACTGTGCCCGGCCCATGAACAGACATTTTTCAAAAGAAGATATACATGCAGCCAACAAGCATATGAAAAAATGCATCACTGATCATGAGAGAAATGTAAACCAAAACCATAATAAGATACCATCTCACCCAAGTCAAAATGGCTATGATAAAAATGTTTAAAGAAAAAAAAGATACTGGCAAGGTTGCAGAGAAAAGGGAACACTTATACATTGCTGGCAGGACTGTAAATTAGTTCAACCATTGTGGAAAACAGTGTAATGATTCCTCAAAGAGCTAAAAACAGAACCATTTGACCCAGCAATCCCAATGCTGGGTATATACCCAAAGGAATATAAATCATTCTACCACAAAGACACATTACACAAATGTTCACCGTGTTGCTTTCTTTATTACAAAGGGTTTCATATCTTCCTGAACTGAGATTCTCTGTTGTTGGTGCTGTTGGGTTTTGTCTCTTCTGTGGTTGTTATACTTCCATAGGATTTGGAGGCATAATCTGAAACGTCAAATAACAGACTTTTATTTTTCTAACTAGTGTCATTCTATCTTTGGAAAAAAAAGGAAAAAATCGTGTCATTAGCATCATCAACTCTGAAAGGATCAAGACCTGATCCTCCAAGTTCTATTATTTTCTTTTTCTATTTCCCCCTAAAAAGAGGTCTTACTTATCAGTAACTTCCTATGAATTACAGTTTCAGAAGTGATCAGGGACTCTCAAAGGGCATTCTTTTCGCCTTCACATACCTTCCAAAAGTGTATCAAGACTTCACATCACCTATTATACTGCCTCAGTAAAACAGGCTCACAGAGTGGGATCCATGCCATTGAGTCAACGAAAGAAGTCATCATCTCAAGTTATAAGGAAGTTCAGGAAGAAAGATTTCACGTGGAAAAGGATTTTCTAATCTCTTAAATAATTGTCCATGGATGGACTTACTTAAGCAAGAGCTTAAGTAGACTTCAAAAGAAACTAGTGATTATAGTTGCAAGATGAACATTGCGTCAATATAAGGGCCACTTGGGGACACTGTGAAATCCCAAGGCAAAATTGACTGTCTTGATTTGACAGAGGAATAGGGCCAATTGGGGGTTTAGGCTGATTCTGGTTTTTTTGTGAGTCATTTTGTCTGTGGACATGCTTCACAAATTAAAACAAACCAAAAAAGTCCCTAGGTGTGAGATGATTAAAGTTTCAAATCTGGTCATTTGAAATCACAAAAGCGCTGGATGAAAGCCATGCCGTTTGGAGGCTTTTATTTTTTCTTGTTAAAATCCTAGGGTTTGCTGAGCTTATAAAGACTCCTTGAGTCAAATAAAAAGTGAGCGCTTTGGGAGAGAGTCATTCTCTTCAGTATCAGATGCATTTTAGTCTATAATTTTCCACTCTGGCTTATGTGGCTGTCTAGGCTTCATTCCATCAACTCATTTAATCTCCAATTTCATAAAAAAGCATGCTTTCTGTTTATCTTTGTCCAACTGAGTGCAATCTGTGCCTTCTAGCCCTTCTAACAATCCCAACTTTTTGAATTTTGTATCAGAATGCCTGTGTGGCATGGTAAATCTCGGCTGGCCTTGACAGGTTGGAAACTGCATACTCCTAGTGAGAAAATTAAGTGACGGCTCCCAAAGACACTCACTTAGCAAATTCTAACCTAAAAACAGATCATCATTTTAATTTACTGTGATTAAGTGAAGTGGGGGAGAGACATTAATAGAAATCAATGCATAGCTGTAAGTTTTCAAAAAAATAAATGATGTTTCCCCCCACAAACACTTAATTTTCATATACAGGCTAGTTGGTGAAGTAGGGAGAATTTAGCATTTGACACAAGATCATGTGAAACCAACCAAAAACAGAAACTTGAACTGAATTTGCTTATTGCTATATCCCTCTATTTTGCAAAGCTGAGACGACTGCTTATGCTTCAAGGAGTTTGATAAACAACCATTTGACCAACAGAGGCTTGACATTTTAATATCATGCCATCTGTATGTATGGGTCAGAGCCGGCCTACTGACCCATACATACAGATGAGATGCCTGAGTGAAAAGATTGGTCTTTTATTGCTATTCAAGGTCCTTGTTTTGTGTATTAGGTTGGTGCCAAAGTAATTATGGTTTTAAATATAATTTGCGGATGTATTTATACAGGTATATTCTACATTAATGTATGCATCATTACACCAAACAGATTCCCAACATTCAATCGATCAACCATTCTTACCAACATTTGCTTCTCAAAAACATTGGCTTCTCAAAAATATTTATAAAATTCTGTTTGTTAGCCCCTTCAGATACATTTCCAATCTGTCCTGTCTCAAATTCTTACTACTTAGGAAACCAAGGCCTAAAAGAAGTATTAATTCTCTACTTATACACGCACACATACAGCAATAACGTAAAAACAAGATTATGTTGGGGAAGAAAAGAGAGAAAGGAAGTTCTACCACATGTCATGAAACAGACTTGCTTAATTTCACTCTTTATGGGGAATAAAGTGTTTAACCCAAAAAGCTGAAATGAAAGGCAATACTTTTGATTATTCATCTGTTTTTATTTCCAACTCCTCATCTGTTACACAACTCTGGTCTTTTAAACATGAACCTATTTGTAAATAAGAATAAGGAGCTGGCACCTGGATTCAGGTCTGGCCATTTTACCTGAGTGATGAAAAAATACACGATGTCGTGGTCTGCACAACCATCCGACTCCCCTCTGAAATCCTCGCTTCCTCCTGAGATTGTCTAATTAGAGTAATGCTGAAAGTGTTCTTCACTTGTAGATTAATTAGTTGATGCTTAAGCAGTTCCTTGAACATAAAAGACAACATGCAAGTCTAAGTGTAATCAATCTTCCTCAAACTAATGGTCACTTAATTAGTGCTTTCTGCTGGTTTAACAGTTCATAAACAAGAGGGCAATTTGGGGAAGGGTCTCCCACCATTGCAGAGAGGTAGGATGTGGCTATAACTAGAATGAAAAACGATGTTCAGAATGAAGGTTTTAACGTTGGAAATAAATTAGACATTGACTCTCTCTTCTTCTGGTGACTAACAGCCATGAGAAAACTGAACAGGAAGTTTATCTTTTAGCAGCATTTGCATATTTCCAGAATTAGGAATCACAGTTTAAATTGGGCTTATCTGCTGTTTCGTGGCAAAATCAAGCCCTTGAGGTGAGATGTATAGGGCAGGAAGAAAGTTAACTCTGGAGGGTTTGTAAATTTATGAAGGCTTAACTTTCTGCATTCTTAGTAACATGGCTTCCTAAATAGAAAATCAAGTTGAAAGTCATATGATAAAGCTAGTTGTTTTGTAAACTACTTGTATTAGACCTTCTTACATGATTTTCTAATTATTTCTGTATTACTTCCCCTATTTGATTATATACTCAAAGCCAGGTACCTTGCCTATTTCCAGCCTTATTCAGCTAAGAGTCAGCATTCATTGAGTGAATCAATGAACAAACAATAAATGGAAATATATCTATACAACTAACATGAGCAAATGTGGCTTTGGGTATAAAAATTATTCTTCTGAACTTCAAAAATATTATGTCAAAGAAAATGTAAACAGTTCTGTTTGTCAATTAAGTCCCCATTCTAATGCTGGGCTGTTAACACCAACAACATCACAAAGACACAGTCCAGCCAACAAGTTCAAGTTACCCAGCACTGCAAGGAGACATGCTGGCTTCTCTAATCAATACCTGCATCACATGACTTTTTAAAGCCACAGTTTTCTCAACTATGAATTGGGCAATTGTGACAGTTAAATGGAATAATCACAAAACCAACTAAAATAATTTTTTAATAGGTGTCAGCATGGTTAACATCAGTTGATTTTTCTTTTTCAAAACTTTAACTCAACAGAGAAAAATATTTAAAACCTTGCTAAATATATATGTAGCCCTATCCTCCCTGGACAAGAATTTCCATTGCCAACTGATAATTAAGTAGCACAAAAGCAACATTAGAGATCAGCACTGATACCTCATGACGGCGACAGGCACACACCTCAAACCCGAGCTTTAAGGGATGTTGTAAAATTCATCACTCAGAAAGAGTTTTGAAAAGTCAATAGCAGTTATGAAGATATTTGTCATTTTAGCTTTTTTTTTCAAAAGAAAAAAGTATACAAAGAATTTAACTTTGTTTATTGAAATAAACAATAGTATAATTAGGGTAATATAATAGTAATCCTATTTGAAATTTTACTCCAAAAAAGAAATACTTCAACAATAGTAGTAGATGAGTGTCTCAAAGTACTCAGACACTGACCCTGTTTTTCAGAAGGATGTTTTTCATGTTCCTATCAGAACTCATGGAAGAATTCCCATATGTAATTTCTTCAGAAAATCTCCACATCTAAATCTGACAACACAAAAGTGTTGGGCATTCCTTACCAAATAGGCTGGTCACACAGCAGCACGAATTTGACTGCATTCTGAAACATGTGTCTTAAGAGGCTCTTCTGAAAAGGTCCCTGCAGAAGATGCATGCACAGAATCTGTATTAGACCCACACGTAAAGCATTGGATGCAAAAACACATTCACCCTACAGTCTTTTGACAAAGGTTTTGCGTGACCTAGCCGCTGACTTCTCTTATTTCTTGAGTGGATTTAATACCACCGACTTCTACAGGGTATAAATAACCTTGGTCTATGCACCCAAAGTCATGTAAGACAGTAGAAAAGAACGTAGCTCAATTTCAGTAAAACATCAGTTTTTAAAAAATCACGAATCTATTTAATGCAAGGCAGGAGAAAAGCAGATATTGCTAATACCAATTAATTAAAACTTAGACCAAGAAAAAAAGCTACTACTTTGTAAATATTACGTTGGACAAAACTGAAGGGTTGTCTAACATTTTTCTTTGGTTCCTTTTCTGAATATGGATGCTTTCTGCGTTTGCTTGAAATTATGAGAATTTTTTAAAACTCCAAAAACAGACCAAAACTTTTTATCATTGCTGATTTATTCTCAAGTTTTCCCTCTTTTAAGAAAAGAGGAAAAATAAAAACCATGTAGAGCAAATAAACACACCTAAACAAGAGATCCTGGATTCTGCTACATTTATCATTTTGTAGATGCACGAGTTAAACAAGATAAAACACGTGAGTGCTCATTTACAGAAGTTACAAGCTTTGCATTTATGAAATGCAAAGGAGCTGTATTTTACCATAGAAAGCCAAGTGAAATAGAGTAAAACAGAAGTCGATCATATCCAAATAATTCAAATACAAACATATTTCATGAAGACTCTGATTCTAGACTGCTGCTCTCACTGTCTTCTACTCCCTTTTATTGGAACCTCTGAAACCATTTTGCCTGGGGCAGAAAGTAGATTTTAGTATAGTAGGAAAAATGCCAAACATCCATGGCAACTTAGAATTTTTCCACTTTCTTTACATGTTCAATTGAGACCTTCATAAAATTATAAATGAAAGGATACATTATGAGCACTTTCTTTGATGGGGAAAAATGCGGGTGGGGGGAGGTCTTGCCTGGAAGTAAAATTTTGGAGTCTATATCCTTCTTCTCTGCAGAACACTTGGGAGCTTTCTCTGCCAACAGCAGGACCCCCAGAAAAAAGCTTGCCTTTGCCTTCAGAATTCAAAAAAGTAGAACCACCAGTTGCTCCCCTGACTGTGGGTGAGACGTTGATCGCTAGGTGGGGACTGGAAAGTCCTGGGCTCCACTTTCTTGTCCCTCAAGGACTGAGGTCAGTGTGTCTTGGCGCCTTATATCCACTCTATCCACCTTCCCGCCTTCCCTCCCCCCGACCAGGGATTCACTCCTGTTTACATTGGGGAGACTGCAACTTCTGTTTCTTAACATTTAAAAGAAGTTTAAAAGCTTATAAAAAGGCTCTTAAGATTTCTTGGACACCAATCGCCTCTTACAGAACAATATTTTGATGAGTTAAGTGTAAATGAATCAGAAACGTACGTATTAAATTTCCCTTGACATGAACATCAGCTTAAAATATTAATGGAAAAAATGCCCGGGGCACAAAGTGCTGGGGGTTTTCTCAAACCCAAAATGCTTGAACGTGGAGTGGAAATCCATTCAGATCAACCAGGTTTGCTGATCCTCCCTCTCCACCTCCCCTAGGTCGTAGTTACCGTGGAGGGAGTAATAGTTCTGGTTGTTGACTATCTGGCTGGGGAACAGATCACATTCCTGGTCATTATGCTTGCATCTCAGCAGAAGCCCAAGGCTGGGCTGAGGCTGTTGAGATGTCCAGCCGCTGTTCACTGAAGGCTGACCCTAAAAGCTGTCTTTTTCTCTTTTCCAACACCAAATGAACTAAATAAACAATCACAGAAGATCATAAATCACTGACAAAGATATTTAGATTTGGAACAGCCCTCAAAAACAGAATGTGCCACAATTTATCCCTCAAAGATTAACTCAGCCCTGGGTCCTGTAATTGTGGATCCCATGACTTCTGATGATAAATGACACAAAGGTCAAAACTTGAGAACCAGTAGAGTGTTTTTGTTTTGTTTTAAATATTGATTCTAGGTCCAAGAAAACACCCAGAGGAACAGAAGCAACGCAAAATCCTGAAATGAGACTTATCTCTAAAAATCATCACTATTGATTTTTTAGGTTAGATTTTCATCTCTGTTTTGTTTTGGGAACGGATGACCACACACACTAGGTGAGTGACAAAATAAGGAGATGGCACCGAGTGAAAGAGATTTCAAGCCTCTCCTCTTTGGTCACGTTAGCTAATCTGATCATTTGGGACATGTGTCACAGACACTACAGCTGTGAACAATTGCTAACTTCTTGGTGAAACACACCATGCGTTCAATGCTTTCAAAAGTACTAATGTGAGCGTATCTACGTAATCTTCAACCCAAAGCTCATTCTAGTAACGCACGTGAAAGGGCTCTGTGAACTGTCATAAACTATCTCCACATAAGCTGTTTTCACTATCATTTTCGAACATCATATCCCTCACCCCCTTAAGGAGACCTTACAGTCCTCAGTGCTTTAGAAGATGCCCATAATCACCTCTATCTCAGGAGGGGTGAGACACAAGAGTTCCCTTCCAGTGGGATATTTTCCCTTGCTCATTCTTTCTCAGGTACACATGCTCAAAGGTTTAGCAGGGTCTGGTGGTCAGGGAAGAGTACGTATTTACAGAAAGATACCTTTTAAAAACAGTGTTCAGCCTTCTTCTACTAGAGGCCATGTGCTGGATATATGTTTGTTGAATGGCTGAGTGAATGAATGAAAAAGCATAGCTCTTTTACAATAAATTTGCATAGATGAATGAAAAATTAAAAGTCTATCAGAGACAGGTATAGCACAAATTTCCCCCACCTCAAATATCCAACCCTTCACCTCCAACCCCTCCCACCACAGAAGATGATTAGGGTTTTCAAGGAAAAAAAGAGAAGGTGTACAACCATGAAACACCCCAGAGAGAGCACACTGATTTCTTCGCTTTATATGGTTCATAATGTTTAACCTCTCTGTTAGCCACCAGTTCTTAAAAGCTCCTAAGCATTTTCACAGAAAATACAAGGAAGAGGAAAACCAGCAAGAGTAACAACGTCAATGGAGCTGGCAGACACAGAAAGACTCAGGAAAACTATGGAGGCTCTTCAACATCTGATAACAAGTCTCATTTCCTAATACCAGATCTGGCGACTGGAGAAAGTGTTATCAGCCAAAGCAGGGAATAGGATAGACATCAGAAATGCCCAATTCCAACCCATTTTCTGAGACTCCTTTCCTAGGCAAACCCCAAGGCTGTGCAGACATAAATAGAGAGTCCTACCATAAATGGATCTCTTTTTATCCCAGATATTCAAGGTCCAGTCATCTCCCCCAAGCTGGGCTTCTCTTGCTCTATCTGGAGATTCAGCATAAACACGTCTTCTAAGTTTTGCCTGGGTAGAGGAAGGAGGCAGTAAGCATGCAGCTACTGGGGCTAGCGGCTGTCCCTTGACCACGTGCAAAGATGGAGGTCCATAGTTTATCCCCAAAACTTTTCCATGCTTTCTCCTGGCATTTTCTCTCATGCTTTTACAAGCCTTGTTCAGGGAGTGAAAATTCATTTTAAAGGTAGCTTAGACCCGCCTCTCCCTTAGGGGAAATTTCAGTGCAGAGGAAAAGCAAAAAGGAAAGTGACACTTCAAAGCCTTAGAAGATAACCACGTGGAGAAGGCTGAGTCCTCCCCGGTACTCAGCCCTCCCCTGTACTCATTGCAGGCGATAGAGCCTGACTGTATTATTATTTGCATACTTGCTCAGAAGGGCCGCAGAAGATCTAGAAACTCGGCTGGTGTTTGACTGACATCTTTTCGGACTTGGACCCCCCCCCAGGGACCCCCCCCACCGTCCCCCCCTCCACCAGTCCAGGACCTGATGTAATATGGCCACAGCCTGGCTCCCGTTGCCTTTGATATGGAACCTGTGCCTACAGCCCGCTCTCAGGGCTAAAGGAAACAGCCAGCTCCCGAGGCATCTGCTTTGCCTCCTGCCCTCGCTGCTGTTAATCTGCAACACGCCGCGGCCTCCCGATCGCCGCCGTTCAGAGTCGGATGTCAGGGGTCGACCGGCAGGGGTCCTTTCTTCTTTCTGTTTGATACATCCTTCCTTCCGCTGCTCCTCGCAATCAACCGCTAGGCCGAGGAGGGGAGCAGGCAGGAGGGAGAGCGGCAGACTTCCGGAAACCTTTCCTCCCTTCCCTGCACAGGTTGCCCCATAATGACCCTGGAGACTCCCGCCTGCCCCCAGTGAAGGAATTGGTTACTCGCCCAGCGCCCTCCCGGGCATCGCCCCCTTCCTCACTTCCTCCTCTTCCTGCCCCCAGCCTCTACCCCTCCAGCCTCCTGTGGCTTCACAGCCAAGTGCCCCATCTCAGGAAGAAGGAGTTCGTGATGGCGAGCCTTCAGACTTCCCACTGCAACCCCCGCCTCCCCAAAGGCACAAAGGCAAGCAGTGGCTTCCCTGGTATCACCTGTCAATCTAGGAGCACGAGGGAGCTATCAAAGACGGCATGGAGCATGGGCTTCTTTCTCTTAGTAAAGAATACTATTCAGACGTGCTAGAGGGAAAATACTTTTTAATTATTTATATTTTAAAACTGGGTTAGAATTATTTTGAATGTACAGTGTGTGTTTTCCTGGAGTCCAATTGTAACATTAACCCCAAACCTACCAGTTGTGTTTTTATACATCAGAAAGGGGACCCCACCCACTCACCCATCCACCCATCTTTCGACTCACCCACCTATTCGTGCTTATAACTACACAGTGGTTTATTTTGCCAGCACTAAACTATGCAGACAGAAAGCAAAGGCTGATTATTCTCAATTCTCCATCGACACATATACGCCATGGCTGGGTGACACCTCAGGCAAATGCACTGATGCGCAGAAGTTTGTCTGCATGTTTTCATTTTTGATTCTTTTACTGGGAGAATCTTTATAGCTGGGAGGCAGGTGCACATCCATGGCAGTCAGGGGTCAGATATTAGAGTACTTACAGTGCTTATAATTTTCATAGGATCAGCCTCCTCATTGCCAATTTCACTCTGTTTCAGGGTCACAGATCATACCTCTAATCCTGGCCAGTTGTCTCACCAATGTGTGTCACGAGGGGCGTGGGGCAAGAAGGTATAGATGACCCAGCATAACTGTTGCTGCTATTGCAGAGAAATTCAAAGGACACGTCCTACAAAAAGCAGAACACTATTAGAGGCAGGCATAATTGCAGGCATTAAATTAGCATGGGTCTCTCAGCCGGGGGCTAATCTAAGCCAGACCTCACGTCATGGCAGGCCATGAGTACACTGCAATTACAATTCACAAGAAAAGGGAAAAATCACCCTCGATTCTCAAATGTTTCTTTTTAACACGGCAGATGCTTAGCAATTATATCAGAGGCTGAGGCATCTGGAGTAAGCAAGAAAACTGATTTGGGTTAACAGTCTTAGAAAGGCTAAAGGATTTTCAGTGTATCTACAGGACTGAGCCCTGTGGGTACTCCCCGTCCTCTCCCTGACATCAGCCACATCCACCCCACCTCTGCCATTACAGGTTGGTGCTACCCAAGGTCTCCATGCATGCACTGTCCCCCTGCGTCTCACACTTCATCCGGACCCTCCTGCTGACCTGGCCCTACCTGGCTGACCTACTGCCTCAATTCTCTAAAACAGTACTTGAACCCTACCAGTTCCATCTCTTCTCTTTGTAGGTTCTCCTGATACCCATGGGGCCCCATGTTTTTAGACTATGCCCTAACACAGGGCTTTTAAAGCTTACTTCCACATGAAGGCAGAAATCAATCTTGGGTGGTCAAAACAAATATGCTTTCTCAGTGGTAGGCTTAGGAGTGATTTTTTTCCTCTATAATCAACACCTATTCATTTTACATTCAAAAATTGTGTGTGTGTGTGTGTGTGTGTGTGTGTGTGTGTGTGTGTGTCTGTGTTTAATTCAGTTTAAAAATCCAGTATACAAACACACCAAACTTTGCTTCTTCTGGCTTTTTAAACTCTTTTCACATGCCACAGTCCTGGATTCACCATTGCAGCTAATCTGCCTTTGAATTTGCCAATTGGGATTCTTTTTGGTGGGGAAGCAGGGAGGCTGGAGTGCAGTGGCATGATCATAACTTACTGTGGCCTCAAACTCCCAGGCTCGACCAACCCTCCCACCTCAGCCTTCTGAGTAGGTGAAATTACAGGCATAAGCAACCATGTCTAGCTAAGTTTTTAATTTTTTTTGTATTGACAGTGTCTTGCTATGTTGCCCAGGCTGGTCTCAAACTTGTGGCCTCAAGTGATCCTCCTGCCTCAGCCTACCAAAGCACTGACATTACCCTGGTTTTTTTTTTTTTTTAATTAATTAAAGTAGAAATCACAGACCCATTGTATTTCTACAGGTGAAAACCTTACAATGTTGCCAGGGATTAATTTCTATGAGTGGATGAGAGGTCTCTTTTTCACAGTTTTCTTTTTGTCTGGGGACTGCTGCCCTGATACAACTTAGGCCTTTCCTTGTTAGGACTAGTAACCCTTCCAGCCATATTCTAATGAATTTTGTAAAACCTGGCCAAAAATTGGGCTGTACTGAAATGTTACCTTTTTAAATTTCAGAATAAATAGGCTATCAGCAGGATCACGAACAAGTTTTGATCATACAGAGACAGCCGTTGTAATAGGACTTTTTCTGTGTTAATATAATGTTTTAATAAAGCCATTTGGCACATGAATAAGACTCTCTTAGACCAAGCATTCTTAACAATGAGAGAATTGAGATCAGCCTATAGGGTGTATTAGTAAAAGTGTCTTTTCTAGCTTTACTAAAACTCTTCCATCTGTTTAGCAATAAATTTATTATTATTAAAACCCTTCTGAAATAGATGTGGTAAAAAAAAGTTCTGCCCCTGTTATAATACTTTCCAAACAAGCTTAAAATTGCCCAGAAACAAAAGGCAGGAGAGAAAAGAAAGGGCAGTGTCTCCAGATAATGAAGTTCTGCCTTTGTGTTTTATCTGTGAAACAGCACGGTTGGAAAAGTCTGGATCCCATTTCATCTGAACTCAACATAAATGTAGTGCCTGGAATCCTCCCAAATGAATAAATTCTTTTCCAATAATTTTTAAGTGAGGAAAGATCAACAGGATAGGGGCATGGGGTGGCAGTGGGGGGGATTATAGGCTGCAGTGTGTGTGTGTGTGTGTGTGTGTATGTGTGTGTGTGTGTGTGTGTGTGTGTGTGTGTGTGTGTGTGTAGGGTAGAGGGCAATAAAATACAAATTAAGGAACACAAACCTGCTCATTCTTTTTGGTGAGCCATGCTGAATTTTGTCTCTCTTTCTTGAAAAACCTTAATAGATTTACATATTTGTTGACTAAGTGCTTGTGTTCATTCCTACCCTGCTTCCCTGTCCCATCCCAAGTATATATTCCTCAGATGGCAACATGTCAAAGCTCCTTTCCTTCTCTCAGATGGTATGCAAGCTTCTGATCTGCTTTTTCTTCTCCCTGGATTGCGCATAAAATGATGTCAATTTATGGTGAGGTAAGGGGATACACCATGGACCATTTATCAATTTAATTTTCCTCCATGTTGTGAGGTCTTGCTGAGCGCAGTCTGCAACTTCTGGAGTAATGAAGAGAACAAAAAGCTGTACGCCTGTCACACTCACTCTCAGGATCAAGGTTACCAAAGAGGAACTGTGTAATTTCTTTATTTAAATGGCTTAAGCAGACCTCAAAAAGTTCTGCCACGAACACAGTTCTCTTTCGGGCTTAATGTTCTCACTTTGCTTCTTTGTGTTGCGGGGGAGGAAAAGAGGCCATTGATCCTCCTCCTTCTTTGACCACTGGAAGAGAGGTAGAGAAAAAGAAAAAGAAAATTCACAAAGAAAGGACCCATGTCCCTCCTGCTTCCTCCTCCTCTCCCCATCCACAGGCAAAATCTAATAAAGATGATTAAATTACATGTCTTTTCCTCCCATTGAAATCTACTGCATACTATTCAAATATTAGAACTCAGGAAATAAGGCAGGACAAGGTCCCTCATGAAACCTTAGAAGGCAGCACAGGGGTCTGAGCTGGAGGTCTGCTTGGCTGGGCAGCTCTAATTAAGGAATCACCCTGCTGAGCAGAACTTAATCTAAATAAAATGTAAAAAGGAATCCAGTGAAAACCATTACCTCCACACCCCACATCCTCACACACCTCACATCCATTGCCTCCCTCTCCCTAGTCCTAGGAACCCTACCTCCCATCACCTGGGAGTTCGATGTTGTTCTATGAGCCCCACAGTACAATCAAGTATGAAGTCTCAGCTCTAGAAGAGGAAGCTATGTCTTGTGCTGGCCTCTTGCTGTTTGGCTGACCTTTCACAGGGCCAGAGGCAGATTCAGTCAATGTTGTTTTGGTTTGCAGCGGGATATGAGATGGAGATTTGATCAAGGATTGATTAAAAGAGTTGGTTATCTGCTATAGTTAACAACAAGGTATTGTGTATCTCAAAATACCTAGAAGAGAGGACTTGAGATGTTCCCAACACATAGAAATGATACATACTAACGGTTATGGATATTTCAGATACTCTGATGTGACCATTACAGAGTCTATGCATGTAACAAAAGATCGTATGTACCCCGTGAGTAGGTACAAATATTTGGATCAATTTATAAAAAGCAAACAGAAAAAAAGGAGTTGACTGTCTGGTCAGCCTTTCTCTTCTTAAGACAATGAGCTGCCAACCCTCAGCCTCTCTGCAGGCTAGCTGGGTTCTTCTTGCCTGTCCATCAGCTGCTTTGGAGTAGCCACCTGAGAGCAAAGTCCACATCTGCTTAACTTGATATTGCTCAATATCCTTGTACTAGTTAGTCCTTTATACTGTATTGAATCAGCCTCAGACCTCTGCCCCACCCACGTCCTGGGTTCTCCCTCTGATGTTGGGTAACATTTGTTTAGACTCATTTCCCATTCTCCTCCATAGAGATCTGTTCTGCGTTCTCACTGATCTCAGTGTTGACCCCATGAGTGAGCTGTTCTCTATACTACACTTTTGTGACTTTGCATGGACTGCTATGTCCACCCACGGTAGTGGTTCTTAAACTGTTGAAAACCTGTTGAAAGAAAAAAACTCTATCCCTAAGGTGGGAAAAGCACACATATGTACATAAACACAGGGTTTGCCAGCGATTTCAGGGAGTACCTCACTCTCTAAGGAGTGTGTGATTGCCAACTTGACCCATTTATGCCTGAGATTACAATTTTTGCAATCAGATCTTGGCAATGATCTTGAGCAGTAGAAGAAAAATAACTCCCACATGCTTAGCATTCCAATAATGGAATACTAGACATAAATGGTTAGAACCCTTGAGATCGATTATCCCTTTCTCTCTTTTCTCCCATTTTTGGAAAACTCCTACTTATCCTCAAGGAGACCTCCACAAAGTTTGCAGACTCCTGCCCTGTGCTCCTTGATGTCTTTTGTCTGTAAGGCCAGTATACCACTTACCACAGGACAATAATTTGTTTGCATGTCCATCTTCCTCTAGACCAAAGCGGGGCAAATGTTCTCTGAAAAGTACCAGATAGTAAATATTTTAGGCTTTGTAGGTCTGATGGTGCCTGTGGCAACTACTCAACTCTGCTGTTTTTGCAAAAGCAACCACAGAGAATGTCTTAGTCTGTTTGGGCTGCTATTAAAGAATATCATGGACTGAGCAGCTTACACACAGCAGACATTTATTTCTCACAGTTCTGGAAACTGAGAAGTCTAAGGGCTCTACCCTCATGACCTAATGTATTAGTCCATTTTCACACTGCTGATAAAGACATACCCAAGACTGGGAAATTTCCAAAATAAAGAGGTTTAATGGACTTACAGTTTCATGTGGCTAGGGAGACCTCACAATCATGGCAGAAGACAAGGAGAAGCAAGTCACATGTTACATGGACAGCAGGAGGCAAAGAGGGAGAGATTGTGCAGGGAAACTCACATTTTTAAAACCATTATATCTCATGGGACTTATTCACTATCAGCATGGGGAAGACCTGCCCCCAAGATTCAATTACCTCCCACCAGGTCCCTCCTATAACACATGGGAATTCAAGATGAGATCTGGGTGGGGACACAGCAAAACGATATCACCTAATCACCTCCCAAAGTCCCTACCTCCAAATACCATCACACAGGGGATTAGATTTGAACACAGGAATTCTGGGAGGACACAGACATTCAGCCTTTAGGGGACAATATGGAAACAGATGGACGGCTCCATTCCATTAACACTTTACATGCACTGCAATTTGAATTTCATATTCTTTTCATGTCATAAAATACTTTTTCAAATGTTAAAAAATGTAAAAACTATCTATTCTTATCTCTTGAGCTATTCAAAAACAGATGGGTAAGGGCAGATTTAACCCACAGGACATAATTGCAACTCCTGGTCTTGATAGAGGAGAAGTCCTCAAAGGTAAATCCTACTCCTTTTTGAACTTCATTATCTAATCCCTTAAAGGTAATTCATCTTTGAGTTTCATTATCTAGCATTAACTGATACAAAACATGCATATAAATATAGAATTGACCCTTGAACAACATAGGTTTGAACTGCGCAGGTCCTCTTCTTGGATTTTCTTCTGCCTCTGTCACCCCTAAGACAGCAAGAACAAGACCAACCCCTCCTCTTCCTCCTCCTCCTCAGCCTAGTCAATGTGAAGATGGTAAAGATGAAGCCCGTTATGATGATCTGCTTCCACCTAAAGAATAATAAATGTATTTTCTTTTCTTTATGATTTTCTTAACCTTTCTCAAGTCTATTGTAAGAATACAGCGTATAATACATATGATGTACAAAACTTGTATAATCAACTGATTCTGTTATCGATAAAACTTCCAGTCAACAGTAACCTATTAGTAGGTAAGTTTTCGGGGAGTCAAAAGTTATATGCCAACTTTTGACTGCATGGGGTGTTGGGGTCCCTAATCCCTGCATTGTTCAAGCTTCAACTGTAATAACAACTATAAACAACGATGACATTTTGATGACAAAAAGTTCCTTGAGACAGAGCCTGAATAGAACAACCATAAATGTGGCTTTAGGGACACTGTGCAGCTTCACGTGTCATCATGATTAGAGACATAATACCTTAAAATAGCCATCAACACTCCAATCACAAATTCTGGAGGTCTGGGATCATTCCATAAATCACTGGGTAGATGCAAAACTTTCTAGAGCAGTCTAATATCAGTAAAGTAAAAAATATCTCCTGTTAAAGAGAAGATTTCTTTACCACTCCCCACTTTCATGCAATCACAGCTTCTTTGAGCCTCTCTTTAACAATCTCTTAAACTTTCTGAGCAGGCAGTTCTGATACAGCTCCCAATGATCTCCCTTCCTGGTATTCAAGCCCTGGTGCAATCCCCTCTTCTTGAATGTGGGCTGGACTTCATGATTTGCTTCTCATCAATTGAATACACACAAGTGATGAGCTGTCACTTCCAAAATTAGTTTAGACAAAGCTGTAAGTTTTGTTTTGTAAGCAGCCTCTCTCAATCTCCTTCTCAGCTTGTATGCTTTGAAGAAGCAAGCTGCAGTGCTGGGGAAGCCCCTGTGGCAAGAAAATGAGGGTGGCCTCCATCCAATGGCTGGTGAGAAACTGAGACCTTCCTTCCTTCCAACAATCATCAGGTAACTGAATCCTCCCAACACCATTTGGGTGAGCTTACAAGTGAACCTTTCTCTAGTTGAGGTTTCAGACAAGGCCACAGATATTATACTAACACCTTGATTGCAGGCTTATGAGAAACATTGAAACAAGAAGACTAAGTAAAACCATATCTGGATTCCTGACTTACAGAAACTGTGAGATGACAAATGTGTGTTATCTTAAGCCACAAACTTTTGGGGGTGATTTGTTACACAGCAGTTGATAATGAATACCTCAACCTATAGTGATACAGCTAGTGCCCGACTTACGACCACGGTTGGGACCGTGGACCGGTCGTAACACGATTTGGTCGTAAGTTGAGTAGGCTATATGTACAGTTGAAATGGTGCACGCGGAGATGGTAGTGCTGCCGGAAGCTGGTCCGCACTGTCGTACACCCAGCTGGGCAACGTTTGCGCTGCCAGACGCGGAGCAGTCATGGCTAGCGATTGCGGTCGTAAAGTCGAATGGTCGTAAGTTGCATAGGTGGTAAGTCGATCAATACCTGTAAATGGATGTCTATTTACTCATTCTCCCCACCAAAATGTTACGTTCCTGTAGGGCAGAGGTTAAAACATATTCATCCTGATACCTCTTCTCACAGCTCATAACATACAACCGGACCTACAATATATGATTAATCAATGTTTGTTAAATTAACTTGTATTTTGAGTTTCATTGAAATCAGTTAGTTGAAGTGATAATTATAACATTTAAATGTGCATCAGCAGTAGTACAAAGCAGGTAACTGGTTAGGATACAAAGTTTTTGAAAATTGTGAGGGTGAAAAAATTATTTATATTTGTACCCTGTTGTACCCAGCTTAGGTTTCAAAAACTTTCAGGGGGTTTTTATTCATTTACAAAAGGCTGCAAAGTGGGTGCCTCCCCACCACACCACAGAGGTCTTTGCCCTTATCGATCCAACAATACTGACTTGCCCGGTGCATAGTGGGAGCTATTATAAGGAGAGAGGAGAAGAAAGAAATAGAAACAACTGTGAAAAACGTTGAAGAAAAAAGAAAACGTTAGAAAAAGAGCGGAGGAAAAAGAAGATGTAGTTAACATCCAAGCCAGATGCAGAGAAATGATTCAAAAGAAAATGTCTGATTTTCCTGTCTGTAGTCATAAATATTTTGACAAGGAGCTAGGCATTTATCAAAAAGGAGGAAAAAAAAAAAAGAATAACAGAGGTTGTCTTCCAAAGGACCCAACACTCTTGGAATTCAATGACCTAATTCTGTATGTGGTTGCAGTGTAGAGATTGCCTCTCTTGTCTGATTCTCATGGCACTGAGACCTCTGATTTCTCAACAGCACATGGCACAGCACTATCAGAGGTCAGGAATAAAGAACAGAGGATGTGGGGGACAGTCTAGATATTATCCCCAGCAAACATATTTTTAAGTCAGTGTAGATTCTCACTCTCTATCTTGCTGGTTGCTTATCTTAGCAGTTAAATCAACTTTTCATTACTTTTGTAGACATTATATAATATTTTCTCCCCGCAGCTCCAGCCACCAGCTGTTAGTCAGCAGAATGCGAGAGGGATTGGGTCAGCTTGAGCGGAATAACTTCCATGCAGACTTACGAGGGAACCAATTCCCAGCCACTGAACAAAGCCAAATGTACTGCAATGACCATAGAACCAAAGAGATCTTAAGAGAGAAATCTGAGAGCATTCAAAGGTCAAAACAATTGGAGCTAGTTCCTTCAAGCTTAAATATTCTCATCTGTAAAGTGGGGACAGTAACAGTGTGTGTCTTATAGGGTTATTTTGAAAGCTAAATATGTGTAAAAGCCTCAGTCTACTGAAAGATTACTTGACCGTAATACTCTTTCCATTTTGTGTGGGATAATCCTTTGTTAGGGGTTAGGGATACTGTCTCGTACATTACAGGATATTTAAAATGTCCTTAGTTTCTATCGACCAGATGCTAACACCCCACCCACAGACCACCATCCTCTCCATCATCACCATCAAAAACGTCTCCAGACATTTCCAAGTGTCTCCTGGGAGGGTAAAATCACCCCTGGTTGAGAACCAGTGTTCTAGTGCTTGGCATTGTTCTATAAATATCGGATGATATTTTTATCATTATAATTATTACTAAAGGCAACACCATCCTGCTATGGTGACAGCTCCTCAGTCTCACTGAATCCCCAAAATAGTTGCCGCATTTCTGCATCTTTTCAAGAGTAAGGGTTGAAAAGAGACATGGCAATTCATCTGACAGCAATCCAATAGGAAACCTGCTGTCTCCATAGAAACTCTTTTCATGGAAAGAAAGGGGGCTACCATTTTGTTCTGCTGCAGGAACTAGCTCTATTCCTCAGCCTCACGGTTTGTGAAACGCAACAGACTTTTCCATGGGCATAAATTCTCCAACTTTAGGGATTGCCGGTATAGTTGACTCTTGAAGCTGCTGTTGGATTTCCAAAGGTATCACCATTTTTACCTGAGAAAGGAAGGAAAAAGATATTCAAGAAGGAGAATTTTTCAACAGAAGTTACTCCATTTGCTGTTTTTGTGGTTTTGTGCTTGTTTGGGTTTGCAAGTATGTTTTCTGCCCAAATTGTTCTTGCATATTCTAACAGTGTTTGCTTTACGTGTTTTGATACCACGCTGTTTTGAAGGTACAAATGTTTTTCATGGCATGTCTTGTGTTAAGTGTACAAACTGAGAGGTGAATATCAGGACTGAATAGAGTACAGTATTCCTCAAAGTTTTTAACCAAATAAACGCTAAGAGGAAAGTGAAGCAAGATTTCTAGAGGTCTGGAAGTGGCCAGGTGACAATATGACATCTCTATACCTCCTATTGTTATCTTTAGACTAAATGCAAATTTTTCTTTCTGTGCTAAAAGAATGTTTCATTAATTTCAAGGTAAAAATGTGCAAATAGGCTCTCCATATTGGCTTGTTTATTCTGTGGTCTCTCCTACTCCCCTTTTTAAAGTGTGTGCAGTGAATTTCCAAAGATCATAATCTTAGAATCTAACAGACCCGAATTCCAGTCCTTGGCTATACTGCTGATACAGCGGGTTAACTTGGGCATATCACTTAATGCTGGTGACCCTCAGTTTCCGTATCTGAAATGAGGAAATAAAAATTGACCTACCATGTCGCACCATCATAAGCAGTAAAGATAATATACATAAACAATAGAGCAGAAGGCCAGGCACAGAAAATTCTCGATAGTCAGTAGCTGGCATAATTATTATAAAGAAGAGCACTTCTGATGTAAGACATAGGCAGAGGGTCGTAAGTGTGTTAATCTGCCACCACCTCCCAACCCTCTACCTGCCCTCCATACCTGGCCACCTGCCTCTGTGCAGGTCTTGCCTAACCTTTCCCAACAGGAAGAAGCTGGGCTCTTGTGAAATAGTTCCAAGGATGAAACTAACACAGCTCATTAACCCTCCCAAATATCTGTGCTATAAGGATTTCCTGTCACTTTCCCATGACTCTGAATTACATCTACCCTGAGCCCCACAACAAAATCTGGGACATTGCTTTGTCATGCTGACAGTTTCCCAAATTTGCCTGGCTTTGTTCACATTGCTTCCCAGACCCCTCTTCTGAAGATTCTGATTTGCTTGGCAGAGAATTTATACTTTTAGCAAGCCCCCTAAGATTTTCCTAAGATTGTGCAAGTTGAGGAAGCACTGCATTGTGCAATCTGCTTCTGTTGCCCACAGTACCAGAACGCATCTCCATACAACTAGAACAAAGAACAGCAAGTTTAATATCTTTATGAAAAAAAAAAAAAGCTGATCACGGAAAAGTTAATATTAGTCTAAGTATCTGTCAGAATTCAAACATACTCACTCCTTGACCCAGCAATTCTACTTCAAGAAATTAGTCTTAACAAATATACTTCCAGATCTACAGAAAGGTGAATGTAAAAGCATTGTCTCTAATGCTGTGCAGAAGCTTTGCAGTCTCTAATTTAATCGAGAAGACTGTGAGAAAAAAAACCTAATATCCAACAATGGGGGAAGAAATTTATGGCGTAGCCATACAATAGAATATTACGGAGATTTACAAAGACAGCTTTCTGTGTTTTGGTATTTTATATCAACACAAGCGATTCTGTACATGTCAAACTAAACAAAAAGGTCTTCAAGTTATATTTTAAATTAAAAATGGCAAAGTGCCTAACAGTATGGGCAGGAGTCGATCTGTCTCCTTCCTCTTTGTACACCTTTCTATCTTGATTGTATGTGTCTTGTGCATTATAGGATAGTCAGCAACATCCTTTGCCTCTATCCAGCAGATGCTAACACCCCACCCGCAGACCACCATCCTCTCCATCATCAGCATCAAAAATGTCTCCAGACATTTCCAAGTGTCCCTTGGTTGGGGGCTGTCCCTTGGACATCACCCCTGGTTGGGAACCACCATTCTAGTGCTTGAATACATGCACTTACCATCCCTAGAAGGATATCCAGAAGCACCACCAGTGCCTATAGGGTAAAGGACTGATGCCTAGGTGCCAAGTCCAGGAGGGGACTGAATTTGCACAATATATTTTTTTGGACCTTTTGATTTTTGTATCATGCATGGATTTGACCCATACAAGAGTTCATTTTGATTTAAAGCCAAAGCCCTCAGTCTAGCTAGCACTTCTGTCCTACATTCATTCCTTCACCTTACGGTTCTCTTTCCTTCTCCCACAGCTTTGCTCCTCCTTTCACATTAGTAGAATCTTTTCCTGTCCTCCATTCCCACCATGGTATGGACCTCCTCTCTCCCTAGTTCCACTCTGCTTAAGCCCCACTCTTTCCTGGAGGTATGTCTGTCACCTTCAAAGTTCTACTAAAGCTGCCTTGAATCTAAGCCACCCAGGAGGGTTTGCTGTCCTGATGAAATACACTCCATGACCGTACTCTTCCTGTGTATCCACACATTCCTTATCAACTGGAGAGCTTATCACACAGAAATGCTTTAAAAATAATTCACTTTAGTGTCAAACTTTTTTCTCTTTTATTTTAAATTTTCATACATTTTTAATCTAAGGATGCCTAGAAAAGAATGATGTCTGTTTGAATTTGACAAGTGTGTTTGCATTTCAAACATAAATTTCTCAGTAAAGAACAGACTCCCTATTTATCATATACAATATCAATATGAAAAAGACCTACTTTTAATATCTCCTTCTGGCCTAATTATAAGCTCTTGGAAGGGGGGAAACTTATCTTTAAGCATTCTACTTTCTTCTTAGGGCTTAATGCAGAAATTTGACATTAAAGACCCTTAAGAAGTACTAGTTGAGTGAATATCAGAATGAAGTAGTGAATGTACTTTTTTAAAAGTTCTGGGGTACATGTGCAGAATGTGCAGGTCTGTTACATAGATAAATGTGCAATGGTGGTTTGCTGCACCTATCAACCCATCACCTAGGTATTCAGCCCCGTATGGATCAGTAATTTTTCCTAATGCTCTCCCTCCCCATTTGACCCAGCAATCTCATTACTGGGTATATACCCAAAAGAACAGAAATCATTCTATTACAAAGATACATGCACGCATATGTTCATTGCAGCACTGTTCACAATAGCAAAGACATGGAATCAACCCAAAAGTCCATCAATGATAGACTTGATACAGAAAATGTGATACACACACACCATTGAATACTATGTAGCCATAAAAAGGAATGAGATCATGTCATTTGCAGGAACATGGATGGAGCTGGAAGTCATTATCCTCAGCAAACTAGGATATCTGCAGGAACAGAGTATACTATTCTAATTCATTTCTAGGGGCGTTAATTGATTGTATTTTGGCAGAAGCACATGTGGTTTGTGACACAGTGTCAGTACCATGATTGCATAGTCTGTCGCCTTGCAGTTGTTGGCTTGTTCTTAGTATAGTCACAGAGTATCCCTTGTTGACCCTTGACCCCATCTATGTCCTTCAGAGCACCAAGCATAGGGATTTGCCCACAGCAGGTATTTGAGAAACGGTATGGAATGAATGTCCTTTGATGAGCAATATAAAGAACATGTAGAAAGCTTGGGAAAAAAGTAAGCAGTAAAAGTAAACAACAACCAACTTGCCCCGAAATCTGCATATGGTTAGATTAAATGTTCATCATGGGAGGAAGATCAAAACCATGTTTGGAGGGTTGGCATCTCTCCATACTTTCCAGGAAGCTGGGTTTATGTCTTCTGAGGTAAAAACTGGAGTAGAATATGGTTTTTCTAGATATTTGTGCTTTGCTAACTCCTGTCTTCTAGGGAGGGGGATGGTCTGCCTATTTCAAGAAGGATGTCGTCCTTTAGGCTGTCAAGAACTTAATTAAAAATCATAACTGGGGCCAGGCATGGTGGCTCAAGCCTGTAATCACAGCACCCTGTGAGGCCGAGGTGGGTGGATCACCTGAGATCAGGAGTTCGAGACCAGCCTGTCCAACATGATGAAACCCCATCCCTACCAATGACACAAAAATTAGCTGGGTGTGGTGGTGTGTGCCTGTAATCTCAGCTACTCAGGAGGCTGAGGCAGGAGAGTCACTTGAACCCAGGAGGCAGAGGTTGCAGTGAGCCGAGATCGTGCCATTGCACTCCAGTCTGCGTGACAAGAGCAAAACTGTCTCAAAAAAGAATCATAACTGATATTAACAAACATGGTCACAGGCCAAGTCCTTTGTGTTTTTCCACTGATACGTGCTCTCAGGACTCTCCAAATGCAGGCTGGCCCACAGTCACCACAGTTAGGGAGGGTAACATTCATGGAGGGAAAGGGACTGCGATCACCCTAGAGACCAGGCAATCAACAAAACTGTGATTATGATTTTACCCAGATTGAGTCAAACATCAGGGATTCTAAGCACTTTCCCAACACTTACTTTCCACCGCTAAGTTGGCAACGCTTAACGTGCGCATACTGAGCATTACCTCTGCTGGAACGAAAGCTTAAATGGAGCATTTCACACTCTTAACAGAAGAGTTTGCCTTTGACATCTCAGTGATCAGTGTGAGTCAGCTTGGAGACCACGCTGAACTATCTCTCTCTTCTGATCAGATGAGGATGTAAGTGGTCCTCCAGGCCACAGAGCCCATCCAGGTATGACAGAAGGACAACAGTTTTGGGGTGAGGCATTTTTCACTTGATGTAACTGTCTTAGTTTGTTCTCACACTGCTATAAAGAACTACCTGAAAATGGGTAATTTATAAAGAACAGAGGTTTAACTGGTTCATGGTTCCACATGAACTATATATAGTTCATATAAAGGAAGCTATAAAGGAAGCCTGGCAGGGGAGACCTCAGGAAACTTACAATCATGGTGGAAGGTGAAAGGGAAGCAGGCACAATCTTCACGTGGCAGAGCAGGAGAGAGGAAGGGCCAAATCTTATAAGAACTCACACCCTTATTATGAGAACAGCAAGGGAAAAATCTGCCCCCATAATCCAATCACCTCCCACTGGGTCCCTCTCCCAATGCTGGGA